TTGGAAATGACTCGCTGGCAGTGAACAACATCCCTGAGAACTCAGTTTCCCCGTGGACAGAACAACCAGGATTCCCACAACCTGAGCTCCCCCTACTGTGGCCCCAACAGGAGTTGGAGTGGCCTGGCGACGTGTGTGCCTCCCTCTCGGCTCTAAACATGTAAACAAGCCAAGTCCATGACCACTCACGGCACCTCAAAGGCGTCAACGTCTCTACTTGTGTTTGCAAGGACTGATTTGCCCAAGGTAGACCCTCAAGTGCATTCGTCCACAGGCAAATGGTCAGGAACTAGGGTTGGGGTTCTCCCCTGCTATCAGGACCCCATCTAGAAAGGAGAAGACATTTCCGTCCGAGGCTCTCACAGCGTATGGTGTGAAGTTCCTCTTCTGTGGTGCTTCTCTTTCTGACATCATCCAAATTTCCTGTAGGGCCTTCCTCTCAGACATGTGACACCAGGGCCCGTGTCTCTTCATCCAAAGATGTTCCTACTGCTGCTGCTGCTGCTGCCGCCGCTGCCCCTGCTGGGTCAACGTGAGTGAACAGTGGGGATAGGCGGTGGTGCTCAGGCTGAAGCTGAGACCAATCTTTGTTCCCTACAGGGTCTTGGGCTCCGGATCCTGGATTCAATCTACAGATCCCAAAATCCGTGACGGTGCAAGAGGGACTGTGTGTCGCTGTCCCCTGTGTTGTCTCTTATCCCCGGGTGGAATGGAATCAATCAACCCCAGCTCTGGCCTACTGGTTCCAGGATGGGTCCAATATTTACACAGATGCTCCTGTGGCCACAAATGACCCCGAGAGAAAAGTGCAGGAGGAGACCAGGGACAGATTCCACCTTACTGGCGACCCTCGGAGGAACGACTGCTCTCTGGACATCACAGATGCCAGGATGACAGACGTGGGATCATACTTCTTTAAGATTACCAGGGGAACTTATGTCAAATTCAGCTACAAATACAACCCGCTCCATGTGAATGTGACCGGTAAGAAGTGGGGGCCAGTAGAAGATAAAAGGGCATGTCCAGGTCCCCCTGGACCAGTGGGATGCACCCCCTGCTCCTGATGCTGGGAGGTACAGAGGGATGCAGCATGCTGCCATTAGTAGGGAAGGAACCCGCCTACCTGGGGTAGAAGTTTCCTTCTGGGACCAGTGAACAGTAGCCACTTCCAGGATTTCATTTTCTTTCTCTCTCTCCAGCCCTGACAGAGACCCCCAAAATCCACATCCAGCAGAACCTAGAAGCTGGCTACCCCAGGAACATAACTTGTAAGGCACCATGGGCCTGCAAAAGAGGGAAGCCCCCAATCTTCTCTTGGATTGGGGTCGCTGTCAAAGCCCTGGGACCCATGGATCCCCACTCCTCCATCCTCACCTTCACCCCGGAGCAAGCACACAACGGTACAAACCTCACCTGCAGAGTGACCCTCCCGGGAGCAGGTGTGACCACAGAGAGCA